TATAAGAGATAATTATAGAATTATTTTATACGGAGTAATAAATGTGAAAAATTAATTAAAGAATATTTGGAATTTAGAAATTTTGAAAACAAATTTTTTGGGATAATAAACACATTTACTAATTAGGTTCGACAAGATGGACTTATGACTTTAAAACTTTTCTGAAGTTTTGTTAATATTTTACTAATGGAGGAAAAAATTACTTGTGAAATAATAAACTGGTTTTATTTAAATATAGAATAATTAAAATTAGAATACTTTAGAAAAGTTTTATTTCTGTATGGTTAACAATTGGAAATGAATGGAACAATGGAAAAAATTATTAAGGCGGAGAATCGTATTTCGAGAAAATTAATTGCAAAATATTATTTATATATTTTTATTTCTAAATTTAGAACTATATTTGAAATTTGTTAATCAATTTTTAACACAACATTATAAGTAGGTTGTAGATTCTTAAGCGAACCAAGTGGGGCAAGAGGATATCCTACGAGCCATTGCAGCCATTCGCGAGTTATTGTAGCCTCCCCACACTCCCGCCTATAATATCACCGTTCTATGTGTAAACATTATGAATAAAGCTATATTAAAAGGTAATTCAAATGTTGACTAAAATTAACAAGTAGCAAATTCGACTAAGGGAATTTTTATTTGTATAAGCAATAGTGTAAAAATCGGCTGTAAAATTTCATATGAATATTAATTTTTCCAACTTCAACTAACAAGCTAGTTTAATAATACTAATTTTGTTGAAGCGCCGTTACGTTAGGTTTTGAGAGTAGATGACACATACTGCAACAAGAATATAAAAAATATTAAGGAATATTTACTATTACCAGAACCCTGTATTGGGGAGAGGTACTTGCTTCAATGACAGACGTTTCCCATTTGCAATTCTAATATGCGTGCAATAAAAAAAGCACTTTCATATCATTAGCGCTTTCTGTTCTTCTCACTCGCTTTAACAACAGGTGGATGGACATGGCTAGATCGACTTAGAATTCCATCCCGAGGAAGAACATTATATTGTTCTAACAAACGGAATATCATATACAGATGAATAGAAAGAAAAAAATTTCTGACATTGAGATAAATTTGTAATAAAAGTTAGATGAATCGTTCATATCAAAAATTTATTCAGAAAATAAAAGTTAAAACTCAACACTGAACGAATTCAAATTACTGTGCAAGAATTGGCATTATTAATAGTTTTCCACGGATACAAAGTGGATAAAGATTTAAAACAAATTTTGATTTTAAATCCTTTTCAATTTTAGGCAGGTATTGAGTATAGAAGTTTCAGGCGTTTTTAGTCCATAAAAACCTCCCAAAATTGTATTCTTTAAAATTATTATTTAAGGAACTTAAATTCGAATGGAATAGCAAAATTTGACATTTTCCAGTACGACATTAATAAAATTATTTACCCCAATTTCATATTAAGAATCCTTCATTATAATTAAACAATTTCGTTTAAATCTAATTACTTTCATGGCATTTTTTTTTTGTTATACATAATGAATTTCCTTATATTTTTTCGGAAAATATAAATAATCCCAAAAGTTATTCACTTATCACAAAAGTGCTATTCTCGACTTTTTAAATTGCCAATTAAAGAGATTATAGTATAATTACTACACGCTATAATTATTTTATAAGTAATGGAATAAAAACAAGCAAAAAAAACCAAAATAATAATAAAAAAAAAAAAAATTACCTCATTAAAGGATCTTGTTTTTTTTTGCTATAACGTATTTAATAACGTAGTGAACTTAATAAACTTAAGTAAGGAAAAAAAAATGGAAATGAAGAAACGATTTACCTAATAAGAAATTTTACCAGGATCTAAAATTCATATACCAGCTACAAACACACACCCATTATACGTTTATCTTCTAAACACATACAAAATAATGATTTTTTTTTGCACTTCTTAAGAAGGTATTAATTTATAATAAGATAGAATATGATAAGACGTCGTAGTAATAAGAGAGTAAAGGATATTTTTGTTTTTCTTTTGCATATTAGAATAGTCATATACATAATGTACATATGTATGTACGTAATGTACCATAGTAAGAAATTTGTGAGTCTGTATTTGCTTTCACATATTATAAGAAAAATGACATTTTTTTAATGAAAATTTTTTTTTCTCTTTTCTCATATTTAAGAAATCTGATTTAAAATTTAAAATATTGTAGAGAAGCATAGTACAATTAGGTATTTAAGTGTAAAAGAAAGGTTATAGGTACTTACAATATATACAGATGCACACATTATATAAAATATTTATTTAAAAAAAAATTTAAATTTAAAATGCTGCATGCTGATAACTGCTTCGTTCACACAAATAATAATACTATAATATTTTCTATACATTTGAAATTCTTTCAACGATTTTTTTTTATGAAAAAATTTATTAAAATTTAAATATTTTTTTAGCTCAGAAGAGTTATATAACATGGTATAGGGAAAATTACCAATTCCAGCTGTTTTTTCTTTTAATATTTTCAATAAAATTTAATATTCTATTTTACATTTTAAAATCTATGTGTATTCCACTCACAACATTTCACCGACACTTAAGAAAAACTGATGTTTTTGCAATTTCAGATTATAAATCTTAATTTCATACGAGCTTGTATTTATAGGAATTGATTTTGCAGTATTTAATCATGTGCCTGACTTTAAAAAATTAGGGAAAAATAAATTAAGAAAAAAATTATTGAAATTTCCAGCCCATTTTTAAACGGGATTTTGAGAACAAATAACCCAGGTTGTCACGGGAATAGTCTTTATGAGGTCTTTGTTTCCTGGAAGTTTTTTTATCCGTTCGATAAATCCGGTAATTATCGGTAAAATATATTTTATTGTATTGCTCTTGTTTGCATACACCATTTACTTTTGATACATTGAAACTCTAGATTCTTTTTATCATTAAAAGTAGAGTTCCTTTACTGTAATGTTGATTTCCCTTTCTTTTTACATTTTCCTTTATAAATTCCAATTAGTAAATTGATAATAATGGACGAGTTATAAATATAATTAGTTTGAGGAAAAGAAAAACGTATATTAAAAAAAAATATGTTCTCTAACAAATAATTCGGTTGGCAAGGGTTCTATTAAATTAGCATAATGGTAAAACAATAATTCTCGATAATAATTTGTGCTTTTTTAAACAAACAACTTTGTAAATTGATGCGTACATTTTAAATTGTATTGCATTTTTCAAGTTGTTCTTTCATCTAATTAAGCAATTTTCTTCTAAAATGCAACCACGAAATCATATTTTTTTTATAATTGTACAAGTTTGTAAATTGTAATTCTAAAGAAAATTTTAATTTTAAAGATCTATGAATTTTTATATTCTCCCCTTTATATTTTTGTTTTTTATAACTCACAAGTCTCCTTTGTAAATGAATTGCAAAATTTTGGAGCACAAAATCGAATTTATTGAAAAAAAAGGGGATACGAGAATGGGGCAATGGCAAAACGATATTTAAATTTAAGAGAACATTAATATACTTTTAATTTTCTTATAAAACATTTATTATTGTATGAGGCAGAATAAAGACGCTCAAATTAAATGAGTCTTTTAAAACAAAATGTCAAAGATAGATGAAAAGCATAAAATGTATAAAAATATTAAGGAATTGGAAAACCGTAATTTTCTTATCGCACGTTTTTTTAATTATTAAAATTGAAAATTTAAATTTTTAAAGTAATTTGTGCTCACATTAAATAAAAAAAATTAAAATAATTATGTACAATAATTTTAAGTCAATTAAAGAATTAAAAAATTCTGTGAAAATTTTCATATTGACACTCATACACACATATAACATACATTAACTAAGAATAATCCATAGTCCTAAAAAAAATTAAGAATTTTCTTGGTGTTCTACAATTTTTAGTCAAACATCTTTTCCATGTACGCTCAACTCACGGTCAAATTGATTTCGGAAGTTATGCCCTTTTCACATTTAGGATGAAATAACATTCCAACTTTTTCTAATTTTAGCATATTTAGATAGGTTGAAGACATCTTTCGAAAATGAGGAATTATATAAGGATAACACATTCTACAAAAAAAGCATAAAGAAGAGAAATCAAATTTCGCTTCTACGTATAATACAATTATAACTAATTTTTTTTGAATTTGAAGTAATTTCGAAAGTAAATAGCTTTCATTTTAAAAATCAAAATACGCAATTTAACTTTCAGAATTAGTAAAACTTTAATTTTCTTGATTTAATGGATAACAAGCATGCAACATAAGTAAAATAAACTCGAGTAATTGGCAAAAATCAGAATAATAAATTAACCTTTAGATAATTTTACGTTTAAATTTCAATGAGAGGAAAATTTTCGTCAAATTTCTTATTAAACAAGCAACTAGATCCAAACTCATTTAATCCACCATTAAAATATTCCACGATATATATACTTAATATGTGTTCCGCGCCAAAATTCTAAATTTTTCTAAATCCAAAACGTACCAATGGCAATTTCATTAGCAACAAATTCTAGTAATAATTAAAATATCAATAAAATTAAATTAAAATTTACAACAATAACGCCATTCAATGAAATATCAATTTCATTTTAATTTTACATCATTATCTTAAATTTTTTCCTTACAAGTAGAAAAGGATACAAAAGAAAAATATTTGGAAAAGGAATAAAACTTTTTATTATTTTTCTTCAATAAAATTTTCTTTTTTTTTTCCTCCCACCCCTTTATTTCCTTTAATCAATAATAAAAAATTACTCTAGAAATGAAAACTTTTAAGCCGCACAAACACACAACATTGAAAAAAGAAAAATATTTGTTTTTTTTTGCAAAATAACAATAACAATAATAAGAAGAACAACAGTAATAAAAAAAAAACAAGTTGAAAATTAAAATTGTTTCAAAGTTAAAAAAAAGGAAAAAAAACAAAACTTCTGACTTATTAGTCAGTCAACGCAATCAAATACTATAAGAGTCATTTACATACCTGACACTCCATTGAAGCAACCCCACCCTCTAAAGCGAATATTGTCTGTCTGTAAACAGAAATCATAGGTGAAACTGAAAGGAAAACAGAAAATAAAACGTTTTAAGAATTTGTTAACAACTTTTTCAAGTTTTCTTTTTTAAAATTTGTTAACGATTTGTAGAATAAATAATAACAATAAAAAAAAAAGTAAAAACTTTAGTTGTGAAAAGAAAATGGAAAAATCATTTAAAAAAAAAGCCAAATTAAAATTCTGATTTGTTCAATTCCACAAAAACAGAAAAAAAAAACCATAAACGAAGGTTGGCCGGAAAATTCTGAACATTTTGTATGAAATATTTAGAACTTTAAGAGTAACGTAGTAGGCCTAGTATAATTAATCTTCGAATTAGGCCAATAATTTACAAATAATTACTTATTTCAATCATAAAGAACTGAAATACGAGTACTGAAAAATTTTATGAACGTATTGATTGTAATGGTGACCATATTGAATTGAGGAGGACTGTACAAAAACTGTTTGCTCTATATTAAATCAATGAGCTGATTAGTATACAAAGCGAAAACTCTTTTTCAAGTAAGATTTAAATAAATGATTAAATTTCGTATTTGAAATATGAACATAATAAAAATTTTAGGCCTAATACTTACTTTAAACAAAGTATAAAGATACAGAAAGATATAAGCGAATGGGGAGAACTTATCCCATATCGTGTAAAACAAAATGAACTTCCATGTGGAATGAAATTAACAGTTGAAAATGCTAAACCCTATTGCTAAAGCATGATATTTTCCGCAGAATAACCGCGAATAGTCTTAAAAAGTTGATATTTTTAAAATGTAATATATGAGATTAATTGCTTGTATGTACCCTAACCACATGTTGAAGTTTCTTGTGACGACAGAACTTTTGTAATGTTTATGCTCACTCTTTAAAATTTCTTTATCACACTAGTGAGCTGTAACCGCTACACTAGAGAGCTGTAAATGAAATTTATAGCGCTATACCTGAAGTCACACCTTTTTGTTGGCATTCTATGCATTTTTGTTTAATTTTCAATAATTTATTGAATAAAATTTTTAAAATTTATTTAGAATTAAATAAAAATACCAATAATTTGTTCGAATTATAAAAGTTGTATACGAGGAATTGTAATATAACCGACACGTATGAAGTTTATCACCTACTTAAGCCTCGTTTGGAGATTAAAATATTTTATAAAAAATTGCACAAATTTTTCGATTTATCGACCCTATTCAAATTTACATACTTATTTTCATTCTTTCGTTTTTCAATTATAATACATTTTAAGCACATATGTAATTGTGTGCATACTTATACAATATGTGTTCTCAAAATGTACATTAAAATGCATGAAATAAAAAAAAAACGCAAAAATTCGAAAAAAGCGGGGAAAGAGAGAATATGGAAAACAGATCGAATTTCCTAATAAACCCATTTAATACCTGTGTATAAGTAAATATACATATGTATAAGATGTAGACATACAAGTTGGTACAATGTAACAATATTGTATACAATAACAATAATAAACGTTTTGACTCTGTTACATGGAAATGAAGAATAAAGAAATAAACTTTAATATTTCCCTTTGATACATTGAAAATTTCATATGGAAAAAAATAACAGGAAATTTTACAATCCGATTCTCTTCATTTTCGAAATCCTTTGTAGAGAAAACGATATAACGGGAGAAAATTTAGTTATAACATTATATATATATGTATATGAATGTACCCTTATACCATCATCAATATTCCTATAGACTACGATTTCTGAATAACGAAAATAAAATGAGTTGGTGTTGCGATTTAAATCGATGGGTTCTATAGCGCTAATATCATTCGTATTATTATCCGCAAATAAAATATAATGAAAAAAAATAAATGAGTGAATATTGCTACAAAATGCACATTGACGCGATATCATACTTCCGAAATAATTATACTAAAAATGTTAAAAAAAAATCAATACAACTATATTCATATATGGCCAAATGAAAAGTCAACGCGATTATAAAACACTGCAGGAATACAAAAGAAAATATCATTGTATTTATATGGGATTTAAATTTCAATTAATATACTTACAATGAACTTCAACAACATAAGTTGCAACTGCTACTGGTGGTATTCCATTATCAGCATAACAATTGTAAGCTCCCATATGGTTACGGGTGATGTTACTTATATTAAGGAATCTTCCATTGATTGATGAAACTATATGACAAACAAAGCAGAAAAACAATAAAAATTATAAAGAAAATTATTATGAAAAATTATGTTTTTTTTTATCTAGAATATTTTGCAAAAAAATGTATGTGTGTTGAAAATAATCATTTGTTGAAAGGAACAAGAAAGAAAACACTATAGGCTATTGACGACAATAAAAAAAATATTTTATGTGTTTTTTTGTTACATTAAAAATGTGCAGTCAACTACCTTCTTTCTCGAGCAAACACATCAAACACAATTTTCACGAGCGTATTGGTATTTAAGTAAACAACAACCGAAGTCATAATTTCAAGTTGTTCTTAGGTTTTTCATTATATCAAGTTTCAGACTAACTTTTCTATACACTGCTCCAACAAAATTCATAATTTATTGTTTCTTTTTAACATTATAAAATTAATTTAGGTCATAACAAAAATGGGTTGGTTGTCCTTATCAATAAATTTACGAATTGTTTCGGATAAAGCCAACAAAAATGGGTTGTACTCTTCACAAAACGCTATAAAATTTAGATGGTCAAAGTCACAGAGCGCTCAGCTTATATTGATAGAGAATTAGGCTGCCTTATTTTAGACTGTAAACTTAACTGAAAGTTTAGTATTTTCGATCGAGCCCGAAGAGCAACCGTTGTTTAAGATCTTCACCGCAATTACAACGTTAACTATACTGGTGCGCTGGTCTGGTGATCTGCCTAGGAGAAAAACAGTTATGCTTTTATTCTGGCAGTGCTTCTGTTAGCTTAAGCTACAAACTCTCTGTTGAGTGTTGCGTCTTTCAGGCAACGTTTTTAGCAATTTGGAAGATTTTGAAGATGGCTGGCACTTCAGGAACGGCAAATAGAAAAATTCAAGTTTACTTTGACATTTAGGCTGCATTGAAGTCGTTGTGGGATAGGTCAATTTTTATCCGAACTTGTTTTAATTACATATAACAATATAATTCTGCCTAGATCTTTTTAGAGGTTGTGATGGGAAGTAGTATCGATATGGACCTCACTATAGGACATCGCCGCCAAGCTATCTAAGTCTAAAAGCGTAACTAATAATCAATATACCTAACATTAAAAAATCGGGAACAACTTGATTGGTCGAAAGGAAATTGAAAATATTGTACTTAGGAAATGATCTATAATATCCCAAAGAAGTAGACCATTCTACATTGATTATTATTTTAATATTGTCATATGAAAAATGTCTCGAAAATTGTGGGGGAAAAATGCAAATAAATATAAGAACATCAATAATTTATACAATTGCTTTTTTTGTTATTATTGTTCTCGTCTTACACAAGTTTTATTCAGAATTGGTTCAATATTACTTACTGCACATATTTCAAATTTGTTTTAAACCACGAAATAAATATTGATCAATTGGTATAATATTGCGGGCATAAAATTAAAGTGTTAACAAATAGTGATTTTTATTAAAATTTTATTGCAAATTTTAATTACGTTCGAATCTATACTTTTGACATTATATGTATATATGTATATGTGTGTACATATAGGTAGATAAAACCGGCAGTTGGGTGTGTGTCTTCGTTCATTTTATTGATATATTGTGAGTTCAATTATTTATTTTCGATGCGAATATTTACATTTTAACTGCGATATTCCTTTACCATATATTTATTATATTTTATCGATTTCATTTTTATTTTCACTTAAAAAATAAATTTACATACAAGTTTAAATACAAATATTAAATAAAGTGCATAATATAATGAATAAAATAATTGATATTTGAACGGACATTTTTATCTTCAATGTTTTATAAATTTTAAAAGCATGGCAAATAAAAAGTGATACAATGATGTTTTCCGTTGTCTTTTTAAATAAATATTTTTTACATTTTAAATTTTTTTAGTGATATTTTTATATAAATTAGGGACCCGCATATAAGACACCCATGTGAAAATAATATCTTTTATGTTGGTAAAATTTTAAATAATTTTTAGTGTGTTGAATAAGTATTTCGTATTCTATAAGGAGATTTTTATTTTAAAACGAGAATAGGTAGAGGTGAATGTGTCAACTTTGTGATAACTGTACGAATAAATGATTTTAAGAGTTGTATTGGATGATAATTGCCACAGTGTTTCGCACGACCTCTTGTTTTTTTCTATAGTGCTACATTATAAATATATGTATATGCTAGTTACTACATGAGCTCATGCCATCTGAAAGATTTATACGATAAATTTTATTCGTTTATGCAAAATATCAACTCTTTAATTTTAATAGTTTTCATAATATACCACCAAATGACTTTCGAAGTTGTATAGCAGCTTCCACCACGAATTAAGAAATTTCAACTAGTTTTATAAGATATAGCCGTCCTAATTAAATACTTGCTTGTGCGAAATTTCAATGCTGTAGGTTCTATAATTTCTGAGATAATGCCAAATAATTTTGGGAGTTCTGTATGACAGCAGCTTTTACCGAAAATAGTGACTGTATCACCATTTTTGTTTATATAAAATTTGATAACAGTACCTTAAGTAGTTTCTTAGATATGACCAAATATCTATTGAAGATATGTGTGACAGTTAACACAGGGAGTCAAGAAGTTTCAATGAATTTAATAACACATAAAAGCCCCCGAAACATGTTTGTTTGTGCAAAATTTCAATATTACAGCTTCAGTATTTTCTGATCTATAGCCAAATAGCTTTTGAAGTTGTAGAGACATTTATTATTATAAACCATTTGGGAAAATTTGGTGAGCTTAGGTTAATTACTTTTTAAGTTGCTGTTGGGACGAACTGACAAACGACAGACGTGGCTAAATCGACTCAGAATTCTACGCTGATAAACATAATCTTGTGTTTATACTTCACACCATTATTTCTTAGTGTTACAGATAGTAAAACAAATTTGTAATTCCCTTCGAACATGTGTTGGTACCGGTATAAAAAGTAAAAGGACATTACAAGAAAATAGGTTAAAATATAAACATCCTATCTATAGACTGATCTTAGTAGAACAATAACTGACATTGAGAATTTTAATAAAACGCCAAATTATTATATAGAAAATATTGTTAAGTACCTATAGTAGTTACACAATTTCAAACCAAAATGAAATTCAACTTTAATTTCATACTCTTAATTCCTTAATAATTAAAATCTAGATTTTAAAATTTTAATCTGAAGGTAAAGTACTATTATAAATGCATGTGTTTTCATATTACATGCAAGGTGAACGATTACAACTAAAACTAGTTGAATGAAACAAACAAATCTAGCTTTGAAAACAAAAAAAAATTCTTATAAATTTCATTTGAAAACGAAGCCTATTCCAGTAAGTAGTTTAAAATTCAATTTTCACATACGTCAATTACACATATTTTCAATTGTTAGACAAAATTTTAAATGTAATTTTTTTATTCCAATTTTTTGAAAAGCGTGTATTATTCATATTATTATTATTATCCTAAATTACATACATATTACATAGATATACAAAAATATATTTATATACGGAATTAATGCAAACAATTGTTACATTCAAGAATAAATCTACATTTTTATTGTTGTTATCATTATTGTCATTGTTATAGAATTCAAAACAACCACAAACGAATAAAAAAAAATTAAACAAAATTCTTTAATAAGGAAAAAAAAAATCCTTTAGTAAGGTTTTGCTGTAAAGGATATTTTGCCAGGAAAACGAATTGAGATCTGGCCAGCATATAATCGACCAAAATCTTGTACTTCGAGTGGTAAACTCGAATTAGTCGGAAAATGAAATGCTAAAAATGCGGCAAATTTATGGAATTATCCAGGATGTCTTTAAATAAGTAATTTAAATTTCATTAACTCACTCAAAATATAAAATTTACGAAAAATTCTAAAACCTACCACAACTTAGGATCCAACTTGCAGGATCTAATTTCTACAAATTTCTTTTCTAATTATTTAAGATTTAGTGCCTGAATTTAAACTCCAAGGTGTTTACCAAATTTCCATATCCACAGATAATTTTGTATATAAATTTTCAAGTTAACCACTTCACCCGAATCTGAGATACAAGAGTACAAAGGTACCGCTTTAAAAATAGGTTCTTTAGATTTCTATAAGGAACTCTTCCATGTTCATATTTATTTCCACACATAAAATTCTATCTGATTGCAATACCTACCATATTATAAGAATAATGGTCGATAAATATACAAGATAAAGAATAGAAACCTCCATTTCTGTGCCGAATATGTGTTTTAGTATCTCTTTTTCGATGTCTTTACAAAAGTATATTTTTATTCATGTTTTATGCAATAAATTGAATTTTCTATTATTATATAATAGAGTCTAACATGAAATAGAATTTATTATGTCCTCGACAAGTTGCATGTTTAATACATAAAAAATAAGAACATGAAAAAGAGAAGAAAAAAAACAAATTGTTTCTCTTAGGTAATACGAAAATTTTCTTTTTTTTTCGTTCAAATAAGAGAAATAAATAAAAATTCTTTTTAAATTCTACAGAAAAAAAAAATGAAGACAAAAATTTATTTGCATACATGTAGGATGTACTTAAAATTTTATTTTAAATAAATGTTGAGTGTTATATTCGAATTTGCATTTTTTAGCTCTTTCGTTTTGTTTGGAATTTATTTCTTTTTTTTTTTTAAAAAATGTAGGTTATAAATGCCAAAAATTAAAGGTGAGTTGTGTTTTTCAATACAACAATTTAAATTTGTAATTTTAAATTTCAAACCTTAAAATATGTTACAAATTTATTTATACGAGTATTTCGGAGCAATTTAAATTTTTTAAAAAACTTTGTGAGTAAGGCCTTGCGTTGTTTAAATTATACTTCTTCATTACTTACTTTGCGAAAATTTCTTGATACAACTACAGAAGAAATGAATGTCATAGTTAAAGGAATTAAAAATTAAAAAAAAATTTTTGGAGAAGTGGACACGAACCAGCGACCTACCGCTTTCTTTGACAACTGTGTACAAATATAGGACGGTTAAATAATTCTTATAATAATTTCCATTTACAAATGTTTGCGATTTTAAGATTTATATTTAAATTTTTGTAAATTCGATCGTGTTCAGTATCATAGCTTCATGCAGAATTTTTGATTATAATAAATAACAGCATTTTTGACTTTTTTCTACTTTATTTAACTCTGAATTCAGTGGTATTTTATTGAAACACAGATCAACTTTTAATCTTCAACAATTTTAATTCTTTAATAATTTTTACAAAAAAACAGTGCGAAATTTAAACTTTAATCATACACACTGGATGAGTTTATTCAGTATTTTGCTACAACAGCAAGTAAAATATGTATTTTAAATAAACTCAGCCTTAAAATATGCAAAATATTTTATGTAATTTTTATAATTAATTTAAATGACTGCTAGCTATTTAAAATTAAAATTTGAAAAATTTAATTGAAACTAATTCTAGCATAAATTAAATTTGAATTGAATTAAATCGATTTTTTCTTGCATTTTATTCGAGAATAATAATTCAAGAGAGTAAGTATCTAGTAAATATTTGACATGAAATTTTAATAATTTCTTGCCTTGCACAATTCCCAATATACTAAATTTTCTATATTTATACTAAATAGATTGTTGGTCTACTAAGCAAAAATAAATTCAAATAACCAATAAATTCAATATTTTTAACATTGAAGGAAAGCTTAATTTTCTAAAGTAAAACCAAAAATATTATTGAATTTTTTATATTTGGTACAAGACCGCACAATAAGAAAAAAAATTTGGTAATAAATTTCAGAGAATTTAAAAATATAGAAACTTTTTTTTTCAAAAATTAATATCTTTTCAAATGGAATTCAATAAAATATGAAAGGACGTGAGAGAGGGTGATAAGAATATTGTTATTAGTTTTATTTTTGCACTACATTTGAAAATCTTCAATTATTATTGAACAACAAAGAAAATCTGTTCCTTTTTCTTTTCATTAAAAATTTCAACTTCACTCCGTTTGATTAAATTTATTGCACACTATTGTAAATTCAAGAATTAAGGATCTTTTTAAAAATTAAAGTTTAAAATTTAAAAATTAAACTTACATTCTTCAAATTGAACAGATATTGTTCGGCCATCATTACGTCTCCATTCAATATTTGGTTCTGGTGTACCATTTGCACCACATGATAAACGTAAATCTTTTCCTTCTTCAACAATAATTGTTCGACTTGTATTATATAAATCTGAAAAGAAAATTGCATTTAAAATTCATATAAATGTGCAGTGGAATTTTTGTTATTTCAAATTATTAAGAAAATTAGAAATAATTTCGTATTGAGAGAAATTTGGAATATTAAACATACAAGACCAATATAAAAACATATACAAAAATAAGTTCAATTTAAAAATTTCAAATAAATGGGGGGTTGAAGTACAGGACGAACTCAATTTTTGGAAAAAAAATTCAATTTTTCGCTTAGACCGTCTTCATTTTACATGATTACTGGCAGTAAATATGCATATGATTTTAATGTCAACTAATATGTTACTTTAATTACCTATAGAATTACGTTTAAAAATCAGAACTCAATCCAATTTAATTAAAGATTAGTTCCTTTATAACTCAATAGGTTTTAAGTATCGAGAGATTGCCAGAGAGTATCGAAAATAATTCTCAAATTTATATTCAGTGTTTTGCAAATCTACAAACTTAAGTTCAATTTATTTTTTAGAATAAAAGTGTAATTTCAACTGAATTAAAGGTCACCCAATTAAATTCGTAAGAGATTTTTACACTAGCATAATAGTGTTTTGATGTTATGATAAGAATTGAATTCATTTATTGTTTCATTAACATAAAGTTCAGGTTAAAGAAGACATAACAAGGTTTTTTTATTATTTTAGTGACTTTTAACACTTGAAACTATAATTCACTGAAAATGACGACATCCTTAATAATTCAAAGATCAATTCAAAAAATAATTAATCTCTAAAATGATTATAAAAACTATAGTTTTTTGTAATGTAAAAATGTTACGTGAAATATTCTAAAAAAAATATAATTTACATATTTCTAAACAAGTCATTGTGAATAAAATTTTCATATTCAAAATTATTATAATTAAAACTTGAAGGTTCACCACAATTTTATTTCTTTCACAATAATTATTTTATGAATAAAAAATAAAAATTTCACGAGTTCTAAAAAAACATAGTGAGCATATATAGCTGAATTTAAGATTTAATTTAATTAATGAGAAATCATTATTACAAGTGTACAAGTACATTACGCAACTCGAATTTCAAAATAATTTTAATGAGCTTACATAATAATTTCAATTCATAAAAAATTTATATAAGAATTTTTAAATTTTTAAAAAAATTTTAATATTAATATTGCGGTATATAGAAAAATAGTTACCTGCAATTGATGGTGGTATGAGTAAATCACTTGTATCACTGGTATTATTTAAGTTGATTTTCCATGCTTTTATACCGGGAATTCCATTTATACCGTTAATACCAGGTTTTCCTTGTCTACCACGTGGTCCAGTTGCACCTATAAATATGCAATTTTATTTAAATTATAATATGAATTAAGATTTATTTTTAAGAAAATTTTAAAAGGATCTGCCTGTGTATGTATGCACTTATTTAAGTAAATTCTGATGATGCATGTAAGAGGGAGCTTTCTATCTGCTTGTAACTAAATACTATTTAACTATTTAAAGAATTCATTCAAATAAGAATTAACTAATGTTGTGTTAATGTAAAGAAGAAATGAGTTTATAGCTAATAGTTAACCTTGCTTAGCTAATTATTAGATTTAGATTAGAGAATTATTTGTTACACAATTATATTAGGCTTTATTGGAAATATTAATATTGGAAATACTTAAGTAGTGGTTGTAGAATAGCAAACAGTTGTCAAAATTTTATCCAGACTTCAAACCGAGATTGAAAATATATTTATAGAAATGCAATATTAAATTAAAATTTTCCTGATTATTCGAAAAATGTAATAATGAATGTTATATCCTTTTCATTTAATGTTTAATGTTTAAATTTCATTTTTAAATTTTATTAAAGTAAAACTATTTTTATAATATTCAGAAAACAAGTTGTACAAATACTTGAAATCCGCGTAATATTATTAAATTTAATGCATGACTTTAACTTATATGTATATTGTGTTAATGTAACCGTATAGTAAGTGTTATGCCATTGCTATGGTTAATGAACACAGCAGCCCCTATTTAGTTCTTTTTTCTTTTTTGTTTTAATATAGTAAATAATGTTATATATATAATATGACAAAAAAAAAACAAAAATTACATCATACAAAAAAACTTTTTATGAAATGATCTTAAAGTTCATAATTAGTGATTATATGTTAAGTTTCCGTAAAATTCTTCCACGTACATGAGTTGTATACACAACTTGTGTATATAATGTAATTGTATATGTACAAGTTATACATATTCACATGTTATACATAATATGCTACAATCATATGCAAAATAAAATTTAACCTAAAAACTATAAATTTTCAAAACTTTAAGTTTTTCAGTTTATTTTCTCTCTCACGTAACATTTAAGCACGACAAAACCTAGAAATCAAAAAAAAAAAAAAAACAAAAACAAGGAACAACATTTAATTGTGGTAAAAATTGAATGAAATTTTTAAAAATAAAATAACAAAAATTTGAACAATAAAAGCCTATTACATAATATAGCAATAAAATAGTAAGTACATAATATTTTTAAAAAATTATGATCCACGAAATTATAACATCATTTCATAAAATGGCAGAATTAATTTTAAAAAAAAATTCTTATAAAAATAAAGAGTTCTAAAAATACTATAAAAATTCCACCTTGATATAGGGTAGAAGATGGCGGGTTTGATTTTTAAAGAATTGAAGTGAATTTATTTTATAAGATTCGAATTTTAGACATTTTAAATAATGAAGCAGAATCAGTCACAATCATAATATTTTTAGTCCTATATTTAACCCTAATTTCAAATTCAATGATAAGAAAACTGCGTATGATTACCAAAAAGGATGTTCTGGGAGATAATTCTGTTAATTGCTTCAGGACGTGCTATAGGAACAGAAATATAAACCATTTTGCTTAAACGTTTTTGCAATAATCGTCCTTTACTCATGCAGATTTAAAATCTTTTTATCAAAATTTAATATTTTGTTCATCATCATATGTTCAATTTGATCTAAAATTAAGCAAGATTTTTATGCTAGTCCAAATCAAATTTATTTTTCAAAATAAATAAACCATTGAATTCTGACTGTCTTGCTTATAGTAATTGTATTGAGAAAATGTACTAAGCATAAATGAATCCCACACAAATTTGATGAATTTCGCAGCGTTAGAAGCCTGAAAAATATTTTTTAAATTCGAAATTGGCATTCGATTCATATTGATGATTCAAATACGCCCCTTTATTGTCGAATTCATATTTATTTTCCGACTGCTATAGGCTTCAAACCTTTATATGTTGCCCATCCTAGACATAAATTTCATTTTGTTTTTCCATATATATTTCACATTATTTTGATTAAATTTACAATAGCACTTAAAATATAAATGAATTAATTAAATCGTTCATCACCCGTATTTTATCAAAATTTTACAGCAAATATTTATTGTACACGTAAAAAAGAAAAGTAGTAAGATGTGTGGCACATATGTTTTTAAATGAATAAGGAATGCGTGTAAGGATATAAGAAATTCTCTTGTTTTTTTTTTATTCTGCTAAAATATAAAATCTGTTTTTTAATACTCAATGCGGATACCAAATCCACACAAAAAACAAAAATGCAAGCTTTCAAAATTTTATTTTTACAATAATATGCGTACGTAGACAACGTATGTATGTTCGAAAGCTAAATGAATTTTAAAAATATTAAATTTTTAATAAAACCAAAGCACGATTTTTACATATGTAACGTAAGCATTTTAAAAAGAAAATTTTTCCGACCTTGGTAATGATTTTTCTCCGTATAAATATGTATGTAGGCCGTACGTGCGTGTGTTTATACTCGTAAATATTAGTTTATATGAATGTTCTTTTTATAAAATTTATGAATAAAATATTTTATACAAAAATCTTTTTAAATTTTTATTTATCCTTCCTATGCATATACTCAATCTCCTCCTTCTCCGTCTCCTCCTATTTTCTCATATTCTACTTTTCTGTTTTGAATTTAACGAAGCGAATTACACCTTTAATTTTATATCATTTTTCATTAGGTCCTTTTTTTCATCTTTTTCTTTAAGAACATTTTCATTTTCATTATTTTTGTGGAAAGGAAAGGCAACAAGAAATAAACAAATTTCAACTCTTTAAGATTTTTCATTTTAATTTTCCAATTTGAAATTCAAACACACTTTATAAAATATGAAAAACTTTAACAAAGCAAAATGAAAATGTAAAAGGAATTCCACGTTTAACAAAAAAAAAACTTGTAGGAAATACATAGAAGGGTCTTATACGTATATCCTCAGAATTTGTTCTGAATTTTTTTTCTTGCCTGAATTACATAGGAAGAAAAAAGAAACCGTCATAAATTATTCAATTGATGCAACATGTCAAACTCAAAAATGGAAATAGTAAGGAAAAAATTAAATTTTTCTATTTCTATTTATTTTTCTTCTCTATATTTTTCTATTCTAACTTTAACTTGCAAATTATACAAATGTATAGTGGTCTGAAATGAAGAGAAAAGTTGAATATTGCATTATAATTTTAAAAGTGTGAGATTTTGTTTACTTTTCTACGCGGTTTGCCATTTTTTAGTTTACAAAAAGACGTTTTGGAAAAGATTATTCAACTTTTGCGCCTATAAACATGCAAATCATTTTTATATTATGTAAATTGCAATAGTGTTGAAAATATATTTTTACGAAATTTTACTATTTAAAATTAGTAGAAGGAATTTTTAAACTTTTATTTCTCAAGCGGAGATATGCAAATTTTATAATTGTGACAATCAGCAAAGTCCCACTGTACTAGTCTTACAAAGCCCCTTTAGCTTTTTAAATCAAAATTTAAAGACTTAACTTTCTATAACAGCAGAGTGAAATATTCCTTTGGCAGATTATTGAATCTGCATCCATAATGAACTAAGAAATAACATACCTATGCCCTATAAATTAATTTTTTTGTTTAAGAAAAGTTTCACTTATGTTCGATTAATACAGTCAAACTTAAATAGAATTTTATTTTGCGGCAAAATACAAAGCCATTTTGTTTGCATTTTTAATCTTATTTACGGTAGCAACGGAAATCTTATAGTCATGACAGAAAAATACAAGTTACATTTATGAAAGACAAGTATTTGAAGTTGCTGTTAGCAAAATTGTAAAAATAATGTATTTGGTTTATTTCTTTGACACATTTGTAAAATACTACGAACTTTCTTAGCTGTTTTCTCTATGGTTTTCTCTCTAAAGTAATTACTAAATTTATGCATTTTAGAACAGGTTGAAAAAAAAAACAGGTTTTACAAAAAAAGTATGTATAGTAGTAATTTTCAGTATTACGAGTAAATTTTAGGTATTTTGGATAACGCATATTGAGAACAAGGTGATATATCCTCGATCCCAATATGCGGTATGTGGTATAGGGTAGCAATGTAATTTGGATGTCAAGGATTTTTTTTAAAAAAATCCTACAAGAAAATCACTGGAAGCCAACAAAAGAATAAATCATAATATTATTATCACTTAAGTTCCTTTTTGTCCTGCAAAATAATTATTTTTCTGTAAAAAGTGAGTGTATAAAACAATATTGATCTAAGATTGTTTCCATCAATTCTTAATCTAATTTTTCTTATTTTTCTCTATAAATAGCACATATTGTGACCCCCATAAATAAAACACACAACTTTATATATGAATATAAATATTTTTATGAATTCCAAGTACATATATAATAATTTTTTCCAATAATAAATAATTTGATCTACTTCTTTATACACGAGTAGTGTTCTTTGAAGTTTTATTGAGAAAATTTTCTTTCATATTGCAAAATTTCATTGCTCTAAAATTAAAGTTTTCAAAATCAAAAATATTTTTTAAAACTTTATTATACAAAATAAAAGAAAAATGAAATATAAATAAATATGTACGTAAACTTTATAAAGTAAAAAACCAAAAGAAAACCAAAAAAAAAAAATTTAGGACGAGAAAATTTTATTTTATGACGGTTTGATAAGGACACTTCAACTTTTTCATTCTGTTCTCACTTCAAAACTTCTTATGATTTTGAAAAAGAGAAAGTTTTCTTAAATTTTTTTTTCTATCGAACTGTGTAGTTCCAATTTATTCCAATTTTCATTCACTTTATTAAAAATATAACAGAGAAAATTAAAGAAAACCAAAACGAAATGAAAAATAAAATTTTCATTAACATGAGATTTGAAGAAGTAGATATTACATAATTATGATGAAAATTTAAAGATGTATGTTTGTATTTGTATATTAAGTTCACTGCAGATATTATTGATTTAATTTCAAATAATAAAACCAATTAGTA